AAGGGAAGCAAAAAAGAGAGAGAAAGAAAGACACACACACAGAGAGAGAGAGAGAGACAGAGCTGCAGCTGCTTAAAGCCTCCTCGGTCCTCAGTCCTGGAAGCCATCGAGAACCCACAGTCACAAAGCGAAGACCAGAGGCAGCACTGTCAACACAGCACAACACAGCACAGCACAGCACAGAGCTGCGACCTCAGCTCCAGGGGAAGGACGTGAGGGCAACAACCTGCACCATAAGCTCCCACTCTCCTCCTCCTCTCTCCCTCCCTCCTCTCCTCCCTCAAGGGCTCCCTTGAAAAAAAAAGAATCCCATCACTTGGAGCACAAGGTAACCAACACCGACGTGTGTGTGTGTGTGTGAGTGTGTGTGTGTGTGTGTGAGAGAGAGAGAGAGCCGCAGCTCCTACAAAAGGGAAGGGCTGATTTGATGGCTGTGTCGCTGATGGAGAGACAACCGCCGTCGCTGTGAATGAATCAAACGGCATCAGATTCGAGGGGTTTTCCTTGAGGGGTTTTTTTTTTTAATTCTTTCTTTCTTTCTTTCTTTCTTTCTTTATTTAAGCAAAACAACCGAATCACGTTGTTGCGGCACGAAATGTGCCCGTCCCGAGGCTCACCCCGTGTGGGGGATGAGATGGAGGTGCGTTTGCAATTTGAATTGCACCCCCACCTCGTTTTATAATGGAAAGGGGGGTTGGGGGGGGATTGTCATTTTTTTTTTTGGGGGGTGGGGGCGTGTGATTCTTCCGCATAATTTGGGACTCTTTGTGCTTTCGAAATGGGGATTATTATTATTATTGTTGCATTATTACAAATGTGGGGTGGAGGCGGAGATCATCTGGACCAGAGGGCAGATGGTGTGGGTTTTCCGGTCTGTGTGCTTCGTGCAAATATATATCTATATATATATATCTATATCTATATATCTATATATAGATCCATATATACCGTTACCGACAGTGTTGCTCATCGATGCATTGTGCAACCGAGAACTAACTGCTGCCGCTGGAAGGTGGACCTCAGAGGGAATGTCTGCAAACAGAGATAACAGAGCCAACCATTCATTCCTCACTGTGCATTCAATGCTCTCAATAGCAGAAGGTTGTGTCCCAACTTATTGCAGACTCCCGAGGCCCTTTGTGTAAGAAAGCAGACCCTGGGGGGTGGCGGGGGGGGGGTAATTGCATCGGTTATTTCATTGGCTTTCACACCCATATTTTGCCTATCACGAAGTGAAGTCACGGGACATCTTGGGATTTTAATCCAGAATGCAAAGAAAAAGCATGGTGTCTCTAAGTTGGTTGTTGCTATCTGGCATTAGTCTGGATTCCTGGTCAGCCTGTTGTTGCCTTTTATGCTTGTAGTATATTTCTGCTGCAGATGCACTCTAGGGTGGAGTTAATCATGTTTCTTTGTCTACGAAAGATTCTCATAAGGAGCTTAGTAAATGGATGTAAAGACGAAAGGATCTATTGATAAATCAACTGCTGCGTGTAAGGAAATCCATCCATCAACACGTCAAGTAATCACATCAATAACGGGAAGATGTAAAACTCGATTATTGCAGGTAGTGATGGAAAACACTGCTTTAAAAATGATTTTGTTAAAGGATATAGAGATACGTTTACGGTATTTGGGAGACGTCTTGGTTTGAGGATGAAGAACAGTTGAGTTTTATTTTGTGGTATCATGTTGGATTTTAATATGATTGTCACTTCAGCCCATTACATATGAGCAAACCAACAAGAAAATTAAGTGCTTCTTAAACCAACAAGACGAAGAGTACCCAAGAAAAACTGAATTGACTTAATAAAAGGTGGTTTAATTACAGTAAAACAGTCATATCTTAAATCAGATACAAGTGAAAGATGGCTCACGTAACAGGATATTAGTCTGAATGCACAAAAACAGGACATGGCTGTCAACGACTGAACATTTCCTAATGGGAAAATAATGACGATACAGTGAAAAAGTAAAGCATTACATATATGGGGATGGCAAATGGTTCTGCAAATAACTCGGTGAACCTTGAAACTGAAATTGAACTTGCACTTCTGTATTTATACAGACAAGGTTTCATTTCATTCTGCATGCTATTTTTCTATAGTATTATGATTTGTCAGCAGGTGGGAATCAAGCTTCTAGTATACTCTGTGCATTTACATTATGGTTAATACTGGAAATTCATAGTGAATAAATGGTAAGCAGCAGGTGGCACAATTTCTAAGGTTGAGTATATTCCCAGTCTGCAGCACAGTGAGATTTCTATTGCTGGCGCCAGAGAACCTTTAATCTGTCAAGTAGAAACGGAAAATTCACCTTCTATAATCAGCATCACTTTTAGCACTTTCCTGGCTTATCTAAACCTATTATTTTAAATAATACAACTGTAATGTGTATTTGCAAGAAGTCTTTTTAAGTGTTCAGCTTTTGATGAGATTGTGTTCATTTTAGATAGTACGTACTGAATAGACGGTTTGCACACATTTTCTGTCACCTCAAATATCCAACATACGTAGAGCATACAGTCTCCAATTACGAAAAGTGACTTGGTTTAAATTAGGTTGGATCAACCTATGTTTTTTTTTAATTTTGTTTTAAAAATGTTGAATTACTGACTGGGCTAATCTTCGACTGCAGAATGTTTCCAACGTTGTGGCGGGCATGTAGATGGATTCTGATTTTTGAGGATGGCAGCGTCTAGCAGTAAAATAATCATTTTAAATAATAAATCATAATAAACTGGTCGATTTGGGAAATCCTTATGCGAAAGGGCAGAATGGACATTCTGAAAATAGATCAACAGACAGACACTGCTTGCACAACCCAGTGGCCAACTCAAACATAGCCATTGATGGAAGCCTGGGAGCAGAACAAGCAGATAGATTTGCTACTGTGGATTTAGTTTTGTTCACTCTCTGCTTGTTCAGCATCAAAAGCAGATGAGGGCGATCCCTGCTGTAAAGCAAGTGAAAGGGCCTATCAAATACAGCGGCTACAGATCTTAACTTGCTTTTCATTTCCCTGTGCATAACTTAGCTAAGCCTCATTTGAGGAACTGCCTACAGTGCAATGACTGAAATAGGACCTCATTGTGAGGAATCAGGTTCCTGAGTAAAACACTGACAGAACTGTGGCCCCCAATAGAGTGAGTAACACTATTAGCATTTCTATTAGATCACAGAAATACCTAATTCTCTCAACTGGTCATGGAATCGCTTTCCATGACCAGTTGGGAGAATTTTACATTTTTACATTTCCAGACACAATTATCAGAGGTCATCCAGCTCTTAAGCCTACAGTTGTTTGGTGGTTGCTGGTCCCTGAGCAAAACTTTGTTCCAAAATTCTCTGACCTGCTTCAAAGCCTTTCTGGCTACTCTGCTGCTCTCTGCCTGATTGCACCAAACCACTCTGCTTCTCATTTCGGCCTACTCTACTCCAATTTCTTTGGAGCCCGATGCTGTTTTCATGTGACTAAAATATTTTCTTTCAATGTCTATTCCCCTATTCCTTGTGATTGTAATAATAATTTAAAAAAGCTTGCATTTAATATAATAATAATAATCCTTGCATTTGATATAGCGCTTTTCACGTCAGGAGGACGTCCCAAAGCGCTTTACAGAACACATTGTAAAGTGAATTGACTGTATATTTGTGGGCGAACGCGGCAGCCAATTGCGCACAGCAATGTCCCAGAAACAGTTGTAGATTGAAAATGACCAATTTATTATTGTTTTTAGTTTTTTGGAGGGATTATTATTAGGCTCTGTGTGGAGTAAGGAAACTTGCCCAAGGTTTCGCCCTGTGCCTGGAATTGAACTCAGGTCTCTCACTTGCAAAGCGAGTGCTCTAACCACTGAGCTACAGGACTCCACAAATATAGCACCTTATCATGTCGTTGAGACATCTCAAAGCACTTCACAGTATATACCATAAAGTGTAGTGACTGTATTTTGTGGGCAAAATGCGGTAGCCAATACTAATTTCCTTAACAATATTTCGGGGCCAGTATACAATTACTGACACCCTCTCCCCCCACCCCCCTCCCATTGTATGGTTAGTGCTAAAGTAAAATTCATGATTTGAAACACCAAATATTGGTAAAAAAGTGGAATTTTGTATGATGAAAGTGGAATTTGGCTTTCTGTTTACCATCTCACAGTGGCCTGGCCATTTCTGAATCATGTTCACTTGTCCTATATGTGTTTTGTTCAAGAGGACTATTGAATGGAAATGTATGAACGTGTCAGATAGCTTGTCATTTTTGAATAGTTTCATTTGCCTTTGTTTGGCATCTTTTAAGAACTTTCAAATGTTTATGTTTTGCAGGTTTTAATGTGTCTTTTAAAGCTGGATCCCTAGAAAAAAGCAGCATAAATTATATACCTAAAGATCAACTCCAATTGGCCATTGTTGGAAATAAACAATATTTCATTTGTAGGTGAGTGTAGGAGAAACATTTTGAAAATTGTTTTTAAACTAGGTTGAACAATGCCAGATAAGAATTATATTTTGTTCAACTCATCTTGTATTTTCCGTTAATATAATTGCGATATTCAATTGACATCATGGTATGGCATCCTTTTTGGAAAGGCTATTCGCATGACTTTTAAATTCACAGAAAAATGTTTGACCAGCACGTGGTTATGTCAGAGCTTAGAAGTACACCAATTTTTAATTTTGTATCATGGTGCTGAAGACACACTGGGGTAAACTGGGAAGGGGGGTGGGGTGTGAAGGGGAGAGTTCAGGGCAGTCAAAATATGTTTAGTTACTAATCTTTACAAGAGTGAAATTATCAACTATCAACTCACCTCTACTATTAATGATTTCAAACTATAAATAGGAAGAACCCCCTCACTACTAACTTGATGAACTTATAAGGTAACTTCAAAACAACCAAGGATTCCCAAGTTTGCACAGTTTGAGCTACTACTTTTATATTTATGTTGGTATTTATTGTTTTTATTTTTTATTTTTTTTGGCAGATTGGAAACCATTTGTCCTATTCGATAGATGTCGGTCCCACGTGCGTACCTGCCACTCTGTTTCATTATGCATGCGTCAATATCACACACTTTATAAGGAAGGAACGAACAGCATTTATTCAAGTTTGTTACCACAAAATGCAAAAGCTGAAAGGATCCTGGAACTTCTGTCATTGAATGAAAATATTATTTATTGCTGAAAGTGGTGTGAGTGACAATGTGTCATAAATTGAGCTACTGCACAAATGTGAGAGGCAATTTACAGGTTTATGTGTTGTAAACGATAGAATAAATCACAGTGTGATGTAGGATTGAACTTTTACTAAAAATGGCCCCGACTTCATTCCCTCACCTTTTCTAAGTTGGTTGATTCAGCCTTTGTGCAAGCGCCTTGGGACGTCCTCCTGACATGAAAGGCGCTATACAGATGTAATTTGTTGTTGTTGAAGGACTTTCCAATTGACCTCCATTACTTGGGCTAGAAATTAGACACTTCAGCCAGAATTCCTCTCCAGCTATACAATGATGCTGCTGTGTTTGCGTGGGCATGATGTGCATCCAGTGATGATGACAAAATCAAGCTGAGATATAATGTCCCACATGGTCCACATACCACCAGTCACTGTCAAAGTGGATGCATGTTGACCACTGGGAAAACTCTTGCTGTTGCCAGTCAGGAAATTGCATTCAAGCATGACTCACAGCTTTCAGGGCATGAGAGAGGGGAGAAAATTTAGAACAATAATGTGAGATCCCCTTTGGATGGAGTGTTTCAGATCTCCACAGTACCAATGAGTCATCTCTTAATCATAATATTGGTACATGCGAATCAAACATTTTTAACAGGGAAGCTATGGTCTCAGGTGAGTTTTCCCAGACAACTTGAAAACAGCAATCATTGTAAATGGGATAGAGCTGCTGACGACTATATGAATTTTATACCACGGTTGAAGCTGCTCAAACTTTTAATTGTTTTTCAATTGATGTCCCGTTCAGCTTCATTTGTGGATCTAAAGCTGATGCATCAAAACATGTAGATAGGTAATAATAACCTTGCAGTTGATATAGTGCCTTTATCTCGTTAAGGCATCTCAAAACGCTTTACAGAAGCTAGGCACTTGTCTACAAAATATATATAGTGCCTTTATCTCGTTGAGACATCTCAAAACGCTTTTCCAGAAGGTAGGCACTTGTCTACAAAATATATATAGTGCCTTTATCTCGTTGAGACATCTCAAAACGCTTTTCCAGAAGGTAGGCACTTGTCTACAAAATACACAATCATAATAGTTTAGACTATGTCCTGTGAACTGCTTTGAGGTCACCCCCAAAGTGAAAGGAGCTGTATCCAACGCAAGGATTCTTCATTCTCCAGGCATGCAGTTTTTTTTGTGCAGCTCTTTAATGCTTTTTAAAAATTATTTTCACAGGAACTATGATTCCAGTTACAGAGTTCAAGCAGTTTACTGACCTCCAGCCTGCATTTAGAGTCCTGAAACCATGGTGGGATGTTTTTACTGACTACATAGCCATTGCCATGTTAATGATCGGTGTGTTTGGATGTACGCTGCAGGTATGTCAGACCCTTTGGGTTTAAATTAATACTTTGGTTCCCCAATTTTAGCTGTTGTGGGTTATTTAAAAATACATGACAGTTCACACTGAATATAGTAGCTTCTGATGTATCCGTCAAGGTGTTCCCTTTCAATCTTCAGTTTTGAGTGAAGTTATTGCATGAGGCTTCCCATAATTTTTTTGGGTTGCCACGAGCTACAGAAATGTTGTTACAGTGCTTCAATCCCAATCCAGGTAGCAGTCTACATACTAGAAGGCATGGAGAGGTTTGCTTTACATTCCTAATGGCACAGCATGACTGTGTTAAAGTAATAAAAGGGCTAATGGGGTCCCAGAGCAAATTTATTGAAAGTCTTCCTCATCTTTTGAGAAATGTTTCTTTCCCTGACGTAGCAAATAATATTCTTTTTCTGTAGGCTTAGAGACTGAATCACATTTGCAGATACCTCTGCATGCTCAATCGGTAAAACCATTGCCTTGTGTAAAACTAAGCTATGCATAGCAGATCATTCTCATGTTCTATCCCCATGTATTCACTGATCTCAGCCGGGGCAATAATAGTAGTGCTATAAGTGGCCTCAGTTATTGCCCCTGAAGGAAATGGGGATTATGGTTTTGGTTCTGATTGGAATCCAGTGCTAGAAAGTCCATTTAAGTTGCCATCAAGTAAAGATAGAGTTTGGTTGACTACCAATCACGTAGCCTGCTAACATTCACTATCTGAATTTATAGATGATTCACTTAGATGAGGTGTATGAATTTAGCACAGTGAAACCATGCACCCAGACTACAGGAGGGAAACAAAACAATATAAAAGGCCTGCTTGCATTATGCTGCAAAATATCACTCACAGTCAGTTGTTTTTCTGGTGTGCTGTGCCATGAATATATTAACGATGTTTCCCAGCATAGCCAGTTACTAGTCTTAGTCAGGCTATCAGTGGAGGCCAGCTGCTTTATCAGTGGAAGTGAGGGAGAAATGGAGGATGTCAGTCGGGGTCACAATTCCCTCCCCTGCTAGCAGAGGGGAATACAAATGACATTGACAGGGGCCTTTGACATTGCAGCCCTGTCTACCAGGGAAAGATGCGAGTTACAGGGAAACCTGTGCTGCCAGGAGCAACCTATTCAAAGGAAAATCTGATGATGTTGCAGTTTTAAGTTCACCGATGCTGGGTATATCATTGAAAAACTGGTATTCTATATGCAGCTCCACGAGTCAGGTTTGATCGGGTTAACAGTGAATTGTAAGGCTGATTAATAACACTGTATGAATCACCGACAGTGTGTTTGCGTTTCCTTGGTCTGCCATCCTGTGGCTCGTCTAGGAAATTGTACAATTTGTTGCTGACCGGGAAAAGTAACCTTGGGAAGTGATCTATCATTAATTGCTTAGGAGGCCAACATTCTACTTTGTTCAAACATAGAAATTCTTACTGGTTACACTGACTTTGACACATCATCCTGCCATAGATGTATATAGCATTTTTAAAAATATTTATAACTGTCCGGTCGGTGTACCTTACTTAGTGTTGTGAAGCTACTTGCACAAAATGTTCAATCCATAATCGCCTTTTAGTTTTTCTCCCAGCTGAGAGTCTGATGGAACCTAAATCCTTGCCCGTTTCTCCCAATGTCTCTCTGTCTCTCTCTCTCTCTGCTCACTTTATGAGCATAATGAGTGAAAATGATTCAGAAAAAGAAACTCATCAGTTCATGTGCTTCTTTAATAACTAGTGCAGTTGGGAAAATATTTGGCGTACATTATGCTAATTCTTATTCAAGTACATTTTCAACAAAATATGACCCGTTTATACAGGTTCATCAATTGTAAGGTCGTGTTTAAGAACTGAATATACACATTTAATATTAAAGGTTTCTATATTCTATGTGAATTGATGTAGAATTTCCTTTCTTTGACAAATGCCAAATCACATCACTGAGTAATTTCACTTTAAAGCTAAGAACAAGAACAACAACAAAATTACATTTGTATAGCATCTTTCACGTCGGGAGAACAATCAATGTTTCGGGCCTGAGCCGGGGGTCGGGATCGGGGAGGGTAGAGGACGTTGGAGGGAAGGAGGGACAAACAGCTATGAAGTACTGCATGTACATGTCTTGTTACTGTATTAATTGCACTTTTTTAAAATAAATTACATGTGGATTTTTTTTTTTCCTCTTCGCAGGTAATGCAAGATAAGATCATTTGCCTTCCTAAAGGGCCGTCATCGCAAACCTTGCATCCGATTCCAAACCAAACTGTCATCAACATTTCTTCCAGTGAACTTGTTACCCCATCACCACTGCCACGATCACAACATTCCGCTGGTTCCTCCAGTGAAATGAAAGGACTGAAAACTAACCTCGACCTTCAACAATACAGCTTTATAAACCAAATGTGTTACGAACGTGCACTACATTGGTATGCAAAGTATTTTCCTTATCTTGTCTTGATACACACTCTGGTCTTTATGCTGTGCAGTAACTTTTGGTTCAAATTCCCTGGATCAAGCTCAAAAATTGAACATTTCATTTCGATACTGGGAAAGTGCTTTGACTCACCATGGACAACGCGAGCATTGTCTGAGGTTTCTGGAGAAAATCCTGAAGAAAAGCACAATAAATCAAGTCAGAAGAATAACATCAGTAAAGCAGCAGCAAATCTATCCAATACAGAAGGCAACCTAGTAAAAACACAATCACTGAGGTCCATTCCTGATAAAATAGTTGTGGACAAGCCCACGGTGAGTGTTCTGGATAAAAAGGAAGGAGAACAAGCAAAAGCCTTGTTTGAAAAAGTAAAGAAGTTTAGGCTACACGTTGAGGAAGGAGACCTTCTCTACTCTATGTATGTACGTCAAACTATCATCAAGGTCATTAAATTTGTTTTCATAATTGTGTACAACAGTATTCTAGTTTCAGAAGTCAATTTTACAGTGGAATGTAATGTCAACATTCAGGAAATGACGGGCTACTGTAAGTTTTCCTGCAATCATACCATGGCTCATCTGTTCTCAAACCTATCCATTTGCTACTTATGTTTTGTAAGTGTTTATGGTCTGACCTGTTTATACACACTGTACTGGTTGTTTTATCGTTCCCTCAAAGAGTACTCTTTTGAGTACGTGCGGCAAGAGACTGGAATTAATGACATCCCAGATGTCAAGAATGACTTTGCCTTCATGCTCCACCTGATAGATCAATATGATCCTCTGTATTCTAAAAGATTTGCAGTATTCCTTTCAGAAGTGAGTGAAAATAAATTGAAGCAGTTGAACTTGAACAATGAATGGACTCCAGATAAACTCCGTCAAAGATTGCAAAGCAACGCCCAAAATAGGTTGGAGCTGCAGCTTTTCATGCTGTCTGGGTTGCCAGATACTGTGTTTGAATTGTCCGAATTACAGTCTCTGAAACTTGAGATAATAAACAATGTTACAATACCAGCAACAATTGTGCAGCTGGAAAATCTCCAGGAACTGTCTTTGTATCAGTGTTCAGTAAAAATCCACACTGCAGCTTCGGCATTCTTGAAGGAAAATTTAAAGGTTTTAAGAGTTAAATTTGATGATATCCGTGAGCTGCCACTTTGGATGTACAGCCTTAAAAGTTTAGAAGAATTGCACCTTCAGGGCTCCTTGAGTCCCGATGCTTCCAAAAACATTGCACTGGAATCTTTACGGGAACTCAAAAATCTTAAGGTTCTTTTGATTAAAAGTAACTTAACTAAAATTCCACCACCAATCGTTGAAACGTCAAGTCACCTTCTGACACTTTGTATTCATAATGATGGCACTAGGTTAGTGATGCTCAATAGCTTGAAGAAAATGATCAATTTAACAGTACTGGAGCTTGTTCATTGTGACCTGGAGAGAATACCTCATGCCATATTCAGTCTGGTAAATCTTCAGGAACTTGACTTAAAAGAAAACAATCTTAAGTCGGTTGAAGAAATCATCAGTTTTCAACATTGCCGCAAACTTAATTGCCTCAAGTTGTGGCACAACAGTATAACTTACATCCCAGAGCACATAAAAAAATTGTCAAGCCTAGAACGCCTTTACTTCAATCACAATAAAATAGAAGTTCTGCCATCACATCTCTTCTTGTGCAACAAATTAAGATCCTTGGATTTATCTTACAATGATATTCGATTCATCCCACCGGAAATAGGCGTTCTTCAAAGTCTGCAGTACTTTTCCATTACTGGTAATAAAGTGGAAAGCTTGCCAGATGAACTTTACTTCTGTAAAAAGTTGAAGACGTTAAAAATGGGGAAAAACAACCTCTCTGTACTTTCCCCAAAGATTGGCAACTTGGCTCTTCTCATAATGCTGGAACTTAAAGGGAACCACTTTGAAACCCTGCCACGTGAGCTGGGTGAATGTAGGGCACTGAAGCGTAGTGCATTGATTGTTGATGATGCTTTGTTTGAACTATTGCCTTCTGATGTCCGAGAACAAATGAAAATGGAATGAAATCTTTTCAGGTCAACCAAAACTTCACTGCTTTGAGATTCAGTTACCCCAAACGGGTAGTTATCAGCTTGATGTGGTTGAGAATTTTTTGTTTTGTGTAAAATTTCAAGAGTTACTGCCAACAATTTTGCATCAATCTTGTATTTTGTAAATTTGTAGCCGTTCAGATAAAATGACAGATGAAAATATTGACCTTTCAGGTTTTGGTGTACCAACTTTCTCGTTGTCACAGATATAAAACTGCTGACAGTATACTAAATTATTTGACGAGTGCACCTTCTAGGAGTGGCCTTTAGCACATGCTTATCCGTGCCATTGTTTTTATATCCATACCTGTGTAAAATCACCAGGACAGGTCATTAATTTATGTGTACTAAAAATCTTATTGTAGCTAAAATTGAAGAAAGCTAGTGACATTTTCACTCAGACTTTTTAAATGTAAAAAAATATCATGTCCATATTAAAATTAGTATAGACACAGCGTAGGCTGGTTATTTCTAAATTAGATTTTTTTAAAAAACTGAAAAGATGTGCCTTTTGCAGCTACACAAATTGCCACTAAGCCAAGGGCACTAGTTACTAATTTAAATGCTGGTTGCATATTATTTATTCAACGCAAATTGCTGGCAGGGAAAATAGCTTTTGCACTAAAGCATAGACACAAAAGATTGTGTAATCCAGAATATGACAGTGCTAGCTAAAGGGACAATCGGAATTATTATCCTTCTGTGTGATTGTTTTGTTTATAATTTACTTGAATATAGAAGCTTAAATGAAGTTAAGGCTAAAACTATAAACAGAAATGGTAATATGCTGGCCTATATAGTCAGTGTGGACTATATACATTTGTTAGCATAGTAGATGTGTGTCACTGAGTTATGACATTTGTTAATCCTGTGTTTTTGTATTGTAGAACTGAATTACTTCCTACTGAACAGTTACTAGCTGCTGAGCAGTTCTTTTCAGACTCTCACCATTTACGCAATAGGTTTGCAGAGCATGATAGAAGTAGCATGAGGTAGATGGAAGAAGATTGTAGAAAAGAAATTGGTTGAAGATATATGGCATCACATCACTGCTATTTTAGTGAAAGCTAAATAACCACTTTTTTTTTCTCTCCAGCAGAATACTAAATGGATTCACTATATATGCCTTATATAGTTTATTATTATCTAACATTTTTCAGGGGCATCAGGGGGAAAACTTAAAGAGACAAGAACTTAGATTTCATAAATAATTGTGCCAAACAAGAAAGTTTGCTTGTGGATGCAATTAGTATAGAATGGAAAATTAGACTGATATCCAGATATTTGTGGATCAGGGGGAAAAAATCCAGCATTCTCTTCTTGAAAGTTTAATCTGTAATGCTTCATCTCCTTTATAAAACCAAACACATTAACACTGTTGCATCTTATGTACAGATTGTTTCATTGATATAAAAAAATTCCCTCCACCAGACTGAAGGAGAGCTTTGTTATGCCTCAAAGCTCAGTGACATCGAAAGAGGTTTAAGTCTGCTTTTTTGCACTTTATTATTCAGAAAGGTCTTTTATTGCCTTTGTTTTGAATGAAATGAGAGTGCACAATACTTTTAAACATTGTTTTTTATAACCGGGATCATGTCAGTTTAAAACTATCAACCCTACGTAGCATTTGGTTCGAAATCTTATCAAATCAAATTTGAAACGTTCAATAATTCAACTAAGAAACATTGGAAATTTGAATGATTGGGATGGGGAGGGGGTGGGGAAATGCTGTTTTCAAGGCCCATATAAATGAAAAATAGTAACATTTTTGAAAAGAAATGTACTCGTAGTTGTATCAGGATAACCATTTGATACTGACTACAAATGCATTCACTGACAAAATCAATAATGTGTTCAAAAACATAGCAGAGGAAAATGGCTGAATATTAGGCTATGTATATGAATCAATTTAGGTTGCAACAAAATTAATTCCTTAATGTATTTTCTGGAAAAAAAACATATTTTATCATATTTCTCACAATGGGTTACATGAATCTTCACTAATAAGTCAACCTAGGTTCACTTTGGGCAAGAAGCACTGATATCTACTTCCTGAAACCTCAATTCTCTATTTTTAGTAGGAATGTTGGCAGAAGATCAATTATAGTGTTCTCCGAATTCCTGCTATGATCTGAAATAGATGTAATGGTGATTTAATTAGAAGAGGGCCTTCTTGTGTTTAAAATATCAGTCAATTCTGCAGTTACTTATTATACAAAACTAAACAGTAATTATTTGTAATCTCTAGTGTAATTAATTGGGTCGGATGTGTTTGTGCACTTATTTTGCCTCAATCAAAATTTTCCTTTGAGGAAAAATACTATTTCTGTAGTCCAAAGTATCTAACTATGTACCTGTTAAGTGAAATATATGTACTATCTACTACTGATTTCAAAGTGAAATTGCCTTTTTATTTTTCTAGAGAATTTTTCTCACTGTAAATATTAGTTACTAAATTCTTGATGTTTGTGATTACAAAGCTGAATGAACTATCCTTTGTATCAGTAAATTATATCAAAATGAGTACTGTTCCAAATAAGGCCAAGATTTAGTAGCCCATTTATTAATTGTTTTAAATAACTGTTACTGTAAGTTTCATCCATATTCAAATAATAGTGTTATATGATGCCTAATAAATATGTAATAAGATTATATTTACTTGCACAGTATAGTTTATCGCCAATGTATTATGACCTCTTTTCAGACCATGTTTTTTGCAATTGGGACATTTGTGTAAAGTGTTTAACCATTATAAAATTGATCACATCTGTGAGAACATTGTGACAGATTGAACCCTTTTCAGTCTATTTAATAGGAAACAGCTATTTCTCAAAATGATGCCATAACAGATATTTTCTATTTTGAATAATAAGCATTAGAATTACTGCAGCTGAAGAACTGTAGCTAAAGGAAAACGCACATTAATTTCCTTAGCTTACCTTTCTGTCTGTAGATGACAAACAAGAATGGGGTTTTAAAAAACATATATTACAGTTATAGTTAGGTAGGAAACTTTCATTTGCATTTAGTTAGAAAATGTAAACACAGTAATATCCCTCAATCTATTTTAGTGCTTTACATGCCTCTTAATGGGATGTAAACCTTAATATGAAGCCTGGTGAGAAGGATTGCACTACATTTGTGAACCTAGACAGATTCATCAGGAAAGAGATGGTGCCAGAATGTCTTTTCTCTGGTAACTATTCGATGAAATCTTAATCCTGTTTTAATTTGTTAAAAAAANGTTTCACATAGAAAATAAATGAACTGAAGTAAAAGAAATACAATTTGTTTAAATATTACTATCTACAGACCATCTTTATTTATGTCGTTATTGATACCAGTAATGCCATTATTGATTATTAAATGCATGAAAAATAAAAATTCCTAAAATAATGTAAAAGATGTGTTAATGCTGTAATTTCAATATTCCATTGCAAGCACACAATAAAAATGCACTTTTTTAATTCTGTAAACTTGTGCTATTTTTTATTTGTGTTTTACATTGCACAGCAATACATTATGTGGAACAATTAATAGTCAGGGATGAATTGCAGAGGGTAGGTATGTTAATTCCATTTTGTTCAAACCTCTCACATACAAGACCAAAAACTCTCTTCTCCACCCACCATGAATGAGTGGAAAAAATGCACAAGAAAAAGTGATACTACATCCAGGTGAAGGAATGGAACATTTCAATAATAGTTGACAAATTATTAAAACATTAAATAGGATAGGCAGCATTTCAAATTCAATAGAAGTTGCCCCAGCATGTAATGATGATATTGCTTAGCAAGTTGGAGCAGTTACTGTCCTGTCCAGGCTCTCTGAAAGTATGAAAGATTAGGCTGCTTAAAAGGAGCGTTAATCCCAAAGGGATTTAACAAACTCAGCTCAGCAGTGTCTGACATGTAACCCACTCTTCACAACAAAGAAAAGGTACAAAACGCTGTAAGTCATCTGCTTGAAAAGCAAACACACCCTTGATTATAATTCCATCATTTACCGCAGTCAGTGCATTAGTTAGCATGTTCTGGGTGTGCTTACATTGCTCTGCGTTCTGTTTGTTTGCCAGTGTAGCTTCTCAGAAATGAGCTTCTGTGAATCCAATTTACTGTTCTTGAAAAAATTGCATTGGTTGTGTGAAGACAATGGTGAGTGGCAACACCTTCAACTGGAAAATGATTGTGCACAATGACTGTATGTCTCGGTGAAAATTGGACAAAGTACAAATATGTGAAGTATCAAATTGATGCTGTGCCAATGGTAAAATATATATTGCAAAGTCATTCATCCTCACACCATGTGTCAGAACTGTAAGTACCTTTTCATACTATTAAAACATCTATTACATAGAATATCACATTACAGAAACTGGCTATTCAGCTCAACTAGTCCAGGCCAGGCCGTGTTTATACTGCACCTGAGACTCCACTTAATTTTTATTCCCATTATTCTTAGTTTTGAATAACAATCTATGTAACAACCGCCATCTATCTGTTCATTGTCATAGTTTCAATGAGCCACATCCTGTTACAAAGCAGCAAATGTGCAGCCTCCAGCGGTTTGAACACTGTAATACAGCTCAGATATCACAAGACAGATTGAGATGAAGAATGACCTTCAGCTCATTTGATCTCATTTGTCTATTGTACACACCTTACCATCTTTCCCATCACAGCACAAAGCTGATTTTAACCAGTGTCCTGGCCTCAACCATTCTTCCTCGTAATCTTTTCCAGTTATTAATTAGCCTATTAATTAGACTTAATAAGACTTACATCAACTGAAAACTCAACTTTGGGTTCAACAATATGTTACTTCAGTTCTCAATTGATTTACAACAAAGAGCAATTTGTGTCAGTTGGAAGTCCATCTTGAGAAAGATAAAATGTAGTAGTTCACTCTAATCCTCAGATATGAAGGTCTTATCAGCTGATCGTAAACCGTATTGATAAATTGTGGTAGGTCCATAGCCCAGTTTCAAAAAGAGAGAAAGTAACTTTTTTTTAATCTAGATCCTCTAGATCCTTTTCTCTTTAAAAAAAGGTGTTACACATTAAAAACAAGGTTCAGCTCCTTCTTTTGCTTTTTTTAATGAAACATACAAAAATGCATTTTCCAAGGTACATGTGTAGACTATTCATAAAGTGTTCTTTTCAGTAATGTGGGCATATTCATAATACTTTTATATCACCATATATGTCACAAACTTGAATTGTGAGTCTTAGATTTGTTTCTACTATGAGGTAAAAGGCCTAGGGAATACATCTATTTAAGTATTTCATTGCTCATCTCTTCGGTAGGGTAAGATGAAATGATCTGGTCTTAGCTGGAAGGCCATAAAAGAGTAGTTTTCTTGAAGACTGCACTGCTGAAAGTGTGCGTGTGTGGGGGGGGGAAGAGTCTTATTCGAGGCATTAAAGTTATGGAGAGAGCCTGCTTTGAGGATTTCACTGCTTTTAGCATTTTCTCCACTTTCAAGAAATCTCTAAGATGGCTATGGTATGATTGGTTTTCTATTATTATTATTTTCTGATGAAAGCCAGGAATTCAGGATCCAGGCTCTAAATTCAGTTTATTTCTTATTTGTGAAAATCAACAAATTTCTAACGCAAAACTTTCAAATTGTCTATTTAATCTAAATAGCTCTCAGGCTAAGGATGTTCCTTCCAATGATTTCCTGGGATGGTTTGTTTTGGTGCAAACATGTTGAAACAAATTAACTACAAATTATCTAATCTATCTTTGCCAACCTGGCTCAGTTGCTAGCATCAACAACAAAATTACATTTGTATAGCGCCTTTCACATCGGGAGGATGTCCCAAGGTGCTGGACAGACAGGGTTATGGACCCAAGCTGAGGTTTGGGCTGGGGGAGGGCAGGAGGGAAGCACATAGATCAAAAGCACGGTCAAAGAGGAGGGTCTTGAGGTGGGTCTTGAAGGAGGCGAGGGAGGGGGCAAGGTGGAGGGACTGCGGGATGGAGTTCCAGAGGGTGGTGCAGAGTGGCGGAAAGGCCTACCTGCCGATAGTGGGGCGAGCGAGGCGGGGAACATGAAGCAGGCCGGAGCCCGCTGAGCGGAGGGAGCGAACAGGGTGGTAGGGGGTTAGGAGGTTGGAGAGGTAGGGGAGAGCAAGACTGTGGAGGGCTTTGAAGGTGAGGGACAAGATCTTGAACTGTATCCTGTGTGTGCACTCTTGACTCTGAGTCAGAAGGCTGTGAGTTCAAGTCCCTGATCAGTGCTTTGAGCTCATTGTTTAGGCTGGCATTTCAGGATAGTGTTTGGGCAGTACTGCATTGGCAGAGGTGCCGCCCTTCAGATGGGAAATTAAACCCAAGACCCTGTTCGCCTGTTCGATTGGATGTTAAAAATCCCATGCACTATTTGAAAAGAGAAGGGAGTTACTTATGGTGTCCTGGCCAATAAACCTCCAGATAAAATTGATCATTCACTTCACAGCTGTTTGTGGCACACTGCTGTGTGCAATTTGGTTGCTACATTTGCCTACAAAATTTATTTTCACTCCCTCTTCAATAAAATCTTGTAAATGCTTAAAGTTGCTATATCAAATGCGAGGATTATTGCATCATTTAAGAATAATATCAATACTTTCTGCATTTTATAAATTGTACATGAGAGTTATGTAAGACTTTTGTTTATGAATACTCGTATTATCTGGATCTATCTTTTGCCTTTATTTGGACATGGAGAGAAGACCTTTGAGGTAGCTTTGACACTTTAACTTCTAAGTGTTCCCAGAAGTTATGGAATTAGCACTTAAGTCATGAATTTCAAACTGCTTGTAATTCTTTTGGCAGCTATTTAAAGAAAAACAGAGTTCTTCTGGTGAGCGCTTATATGGGAGAAAGAAATTTTGAGCAGGGTGATAAAAGCTGAATGTGTTATACCACTTAAGAGAACTTTGTTCAACGATGGATTCTTAAAGCAGGAACCATTCTTATTAAGACTGGAAACTGACTGATACCAACATTCTCATTATGTTTGTATTGTCTCTTGGCACTCTCTTAGTATATGCTGATTATTTCTTTTACATTGCACTTTGATTGTTAATAAACTGCTGGTCTGTAAGGCAGCTACCATTTGGAAGAGAATTTACTCGTGTAATGAGGTGCTCCATAAAACCTATAGACAATTTCTTGCAAGTAGGGTCATTATTAGCCTCAGATATGCTGTTCCAAAAGGCCAAGGTATAAGAAAGGTACAGATTCCATATTTTACAGTGCAAAGATTCTCTTAAGGAAGATTAACCAGAATCCTACCACAGAGTAAACGATCCCTCACAGTAGGTATGATGTTCTAAAAAGAGAAACGTTTTAAAAGACTTAGTTGTATCAATTCAGATCTCACTCAACTAATTTGCTTAACACGCATTATGTAAAGTTGTTGCACTCAGCTCCAGCAGGAGATGATTTGCATCAGTTAAATGTTATCACCTACTATGCTTGTTTTAGACTGAATTCAACTGTAATAGAAAGTAGGATCGATGGGGTTTTGTTTTCTTTTTATAATTTATTTTGGGATTTGAAACGTCCCTTTTAACTTTTGGATTACTTTTATTGCTACCTGATGCAAAATCCTATTGTCCTGAATTGTTTTTTTTCTCTTTCTTCGGCTACTTTTGTACTAAATATGTAAACAGAATGGCAAAGTAACTTTAATTTATCATTACGAATTTTTCTCTGTGCACTGTCAGTGTCTTTCCACTGTTATTAGTTATTAGAATAGTTGATATTCTAATTACCTTTATTCCAATGAGAGATTGCACTTTATAAATCCCTTTTAATGACACATGTTTGTTTGTTGTGGGGGTTTTGCTGATTTCAAAATTCCAGACTCCGCAGGAATAAGTGTTCATTGGGTTGAATTATAACTGCAAGTTGAGGAAGGTATTTTAATTTGTTGTGTTTAAGCCAGTGGCACAGTTGGGGTAAAGCAAACTTCATCTTGCAGGCTGCAACCAGATTTAAAGACCATATTGTCGTTAGGAATTTCATGCTGGTTTGCAAGTAACTCCTGTAAATTGATTTTGCTTACTATTACATCAAAGGGTCAATGGTTGTTGCATTGCAAACTAGATTGGATCAAGTTTAACACGTGTGAAATATTCACTGGTCTGCCCTGTTTCCATGATTCGCCAGATTTGCTGACATTGTTATCAAATGTCACCAATTCTTCAGATGTTGCATATTTTAAGTTCACAGTATTCCAGTGTATAGATTGTGCTGCGTTAGCATTTATTGAAGTGCACCAATTGGACAGCAGTGCTGTGTTCTTTATTGTTTTATAGATGTCAGAAGTCCTGAGTTAAAAATGAATGTCAAGTTAACAATAAATACTTGGAAGTCCGAGCTACATAGAGAAGTGACATATG